CCTCTGGGGTCTCATCTTTACATATGTAGCGATGCGAATGGCTTTAGGTCTCGCTTGTTTGCACTACGCTATACTGCACTACACATCTTGAAAACGATATACTCCTAACGGTCTGGCCTCGTGTTGGAACGTCCGCCTCAAGTTTTGCGGTCCACCATCAAAACTCTGTCTCGAGATTGCCGTCCGGATCGAGCTACTGGCGGTCCTTTCTAGGCATCGTTACGGCTCGCTGCCCTGTGGCTTCCTCACCCGCCGGCCCACCCTCCACCGACTCAATCCGTTCTTGTCTTGCCTTTGTACATTGCCCTGCCGCGTTTATCCTGAGTCGGTTCTGCTGTCTCCGCAATCTCCACGAGCTCAACGAGGAAAAGCAAGTAAAAGAAGCCTCCCGCCGTGTCTCACTTTGGTGTGTTTGCGTGTTGAAAGACAAGCCCTTTCCTGTCGGAGAAAAAGAGGGCTCACAAACAAACAACCGGCTCGAAGTTGAGAAGTTGAGGTCAACTTTCTGCGACCTGACGAGTTCTAAACTCCACTACACCGTCGTTAAGGCTGAATCTGCTGCGGGTTTGAGTGGTTGCGTTGTTCGTGTGCCTCGTTGGGCTGCGCAAAAGGTTTGCTGCAATATAATCAACTCTTGTCTAACACGGAACAAATTGCCCTGAGCTGGAACTGGAGGGACCGACGGTAAACGTGGATTCACTTCACTTTTGCATTTTTAGGAACCAATTCGGGCAAGACGATGCATCTCTCTATCGACTGGTGTCAAATGTGAGCAACATCACACCAAGTCTTTTCGTCCCCTCCAACACTGCTTCCAGCTTCCAGGAACTCGGCACCAATCGATTCGCCTCTTGTGTCCCGAGAATTCTTGCAGACGAGGCTGTTGGGTCTATCAGTATATTAAACGGCTGTGAAGCCTGCTTTTCTTTATCCGGTGCCAGCTAGGCAGCACATACAACAATGAACCCCAATGGAACAACTGCAATGGGACATGATAGCACCATGGCCCAGAGTAATGGGTATGGGAGCGATGCCTGGACAAGCATGAGCCCTTACAGTCAAAGCCCATATAGCGCAAGCCCCTTGACTGAATATCCATCCTTTGGCGCCTTTGTCAATCATGGACTGCCCTCGGAGTCAATAAATCGAATGCCTCCTCCACCACCCCAAACACATCAGATGCTACAGCCATCCCCGACTCCTATGGCTCATCATCAACTGCCCCTTCTGAATACAACTTGGCCGAGCCAACTGACAAACCCGGCTCCGCCACAGAGTTACTCGGCACCACCCTTATCAATGACACCAGCTACCAGCGCACCGCCCGTGGAGCCCCCTAGGTTACCGACACAGCACGAGAAATCGAGGAAGACTCTTACCACGGAACAGAAACGAGCCATGTGCCAATTCCATGAAGATAACCCTGGTACCCGACAAGCCGATATTGGAGCCCGATTCGGCGTTGAAAGAAGGTAGGCATTTTTGGATCCAAAGTTACAATTCGCCATCGAGAATCTGACAAACTTGACAACAGCACAGTTTCCAAGGTTTTGAGGCATAAAGATCAGTACCTAAAGCGAGACCAAGAGCCAGAAAACGCCGCTGTCAAGCGTGGCAAGGGCAAGCATCCAGATTTCGACCGGACACTCAGCAACTACGTCAGGAGACAGCAACAGCGAGGTTTCCAAGTCAGCGATGAGGAGATTATGGAACAGGCGAGGCTTTTTGCTCATGCGAGTGGAAACCAGGAGAGTGTCCTGAATAATTTGAATAGCAGCTGGCTGCAGAAGTTTAAACAAAAGCACGGAATTGGACCAGGCAAGTTAATGCGGCGGGCTTCAGAGGCAAATATTCCGGATAGTGCAAGACTCTCGACACTTGCCTCGAAGTCCAGCGATCTGTCGCCTTCGCCAACGGGCCAGCTTTCACCTCTTTCAGGAAGTCGAAGCGATGAGGAGGCACACGCTGATGGAATTGACTTTGACTTTGGGTATAAGCATCCCGAGTCCCAGTCAACAACCTCACTTTCGAGCGACTTTCGAGATAACACGGCCTCTTCATTCTCTGGCACCATGAGCCCAACTGGAACTTTTACTTTCTCTCCCGACCCAAATGTGGGAGGATTCCCTATGGATCAACTTCGAGGTACCGATTACCAGCACAGAGAGAAAAGAAGCAACACATTCCCGTCACTCAACATCGACTATGTGAATCAAGTCTCATCGTCAACGGAACCAATAACTCCTCGTCATCCTCCATCTTCCACCGCACCGTCTTCGGCTTTAGAATCGCCGCAGCATGAACTTCAGGCGCCGTTTAGCATCGACACCAGCGTCAACTCACCCCCTCCAATGCTACGCCGCAGCAGCAGCAACTCAAGTATAAATCGATCCACAGCAGCGACAAGTGCTAATTCATCCACACCTGTTGATTCATCTCCAGTCTCGCCCTCCCAGGAGGACGCCCGCCGGGCCGCACAGACACTCCTGAATTACATCCAGACTGCTGGCACTTTCGATTCCAACGACTATATGTCAATCGTTCAGCTGACCAAAAAGCTCAAGATCCACCAAGGTAGACCGTCGATAGGAGGACTCTCTCGAATCCCGGAAGGCGATGTTGAAGCCCCTGTCCTCCTGTCGACCAAGATGGAATCGGCTTGAAGTCGGGTCATGCTCATAGCATTGACTGTGTGTTTCTTTTTCGTACCGATGTCTTATCAATCAAGTCTCTGTTCAAATGGGATTTTCCTGAGGACATAAGGGTGCTTAGAATATCGTGGTTGGGGCCATTTTGGGTCAGCGCCCTGCTCACGCGGGTAATGGACTATAAGAGCATTCCAAATGATGGCGCTGGCCACGATTTGAAGTGTTTGTTGAGTCTGTTTTGCATTTCCAACCGCACTTTGGCCGACTATTCTTTTGTTTATTTAAAAAAAAAACCCTGAAATCAAAATAACAGAAAACCCAGGTTAACGGGAGCGAACTTTTTCTTATACTCGATACCATCCCTGGAAAGTTTATTCTGCCGCTCGCGCGAGCCCGAAGAAACATATACAAACAGTCGTCCACACGAAGTTACAATTGAAAACTGCTCGTTTCACAAACGAGGTGCGAAGGAAAAGGCAAATGATCGGAAATAGGTGGAAATGATGGGGTAAAGGACTACATGGTAGCAGGGAAGGGGTACACATCAGGGCGACGATCTCGGCAACAACAGTTTAAGGGGCAACGCAACATGCTGCGTTTGTCAACGTGTGTTTCCTTTTTGAATGTTCTTCATTTCCCATCTACATCTTTTCGTTTTTCCTGGTTGCATTTTACGGCATTGACGTGGAGGGATTAATTGTCTGCGCATACGCTCGTTTCTTTATATCATCATCATTTCTTGTCTATATTCTGTTCAAAGACGAGAAGGTATCTGCTGCGAGGCACGGCACGACACGGCATGGTATGGCATGACATGTTACAGGGAACGAGGTGGTACATGGTTTACAAAGCGCCTTGTTGAGGTCGCTATGGTTTTCAGGACGGCAATGGAAAAGAGGCTGAAGAGACTCTTTGGTTGAAGGAATGAGTGCTGATGCTAGTTGAGTGTAGCCCACGAGCAACCCGAGGGTGTACTGGAGGTGGTCAAATGCCTGGCAGTCGAGGGCATCCCTTCTTTAGTTGAATGGGCGGCATTTGTGCATTTCGGAATGTCCTTGCTCTTGACTCTTATCGTTCCATATTGCTGTGATTTCTCTAAACTCTGATTATGCATTACTAACTTGTCAACAAAGGGGTATCATTAGTCTAAAAGAGCGTCTACAGATCTATTCAGCCAAGTCTTTCGTCCCAAAGCTCCGTCACGCTTTTCTCCGTCAGCTCAGGCATCAGGCGAGCAAGTAGCAGCTCCAGAATGCTGTACATCAGATGCTTGTTGCAGTACTCATCGTCTAGCACAAGAAGCAGCCTCTCCATTTCATCTACCAGATCCTCGTCATCTGATAAGTCACCCTCGCTCTCCGCACTTCGCCGCCATAAGCGACCACCAAAATAAAGCCTTCCCACACCCTTCGGTAGCAACCCCCAAAGAGACTTAGCGGCTCTACGACGCAGGGCTTGCAGCTCGGCCTCGGACGATGGTGGGAACAAGGTCGTCTTACCAGGGGCGTTATTGGGAAAGAGGACACCGCGAAGGGTACGCAGAAGAGGGGGCAGATTCGAGGGAGAGAAGAGGGAATTGATGTGATGCGAGAGGAGTCTGTGAGAGAGATACGTTAGCATGTATTGGCCTTAATCTGTATTTGAGTTAGTACAACGTGGGGGGTTCAATGATCGGAAACGTTATATGCAATAAGGGGCACGTCGAGTGTATGTCGGGCTAGCCGATGTGATGCGATGCGCTGCAATGCAGTGTGAGGGTGAGCAACAAAGCTCAAGGCGAGACGAGGTAGTTATTAGCCTATTGGCTTTCACTCTCTCTGGGCTGGCGCATAAAGTGGTGTCTCCATGTTGATCCGTCCCACGTTAGATGAATATGGACCTAATTGGGACCAGGGAGAGCTCTACAAGATGAGGCTTGCAAGGTGCGGGGAAATGGATGTGGAAGCGCATTCGTCGTCCATGTTGGTATACTCTCATGCAGATAGAGATGTGAGATTACACAACAGGTTTACAACCAGGCCGTGGGTGAGTGTGGGTAGCATATGACCAGTCAGCCCTGTTCTCGAACCACTCCTTCGTCGTCAAGGATCGTGTAAACAGCTCCGCGTGGAGGGTGTATAAGATTCTGATGGGCCCGACATGTCTCGGGCTCTGAGAAAGAGTTGAGACCGACCGGTCAGACCAGCCCGGTCAAGCCAGACCGCTCCTGGAAGGTTCGCGAGTGTTGTGGCCAAGACTGCGGTGAAAATCTTGAGTATGGTTTCCACAGGCCAGTATAGCATAACCTCGCCGGAAATGATAAAGGTAGTCTTATAACGGGTGGCGCGGCACGGAGCGAGAGTCAATTCAAGCTCATTGCTGCATCGTCAAAGAGCGGGTGGTCCCCTTGGAGAAGCTGACATGGGCAGGGCGCGTAATCTTGACATTTCGCTGGATGAAAAGGCCTAGCTTCGTGCACCATGTCAAGCAATCAGGTGTCAAAGACAGCGCTATGTCTTTCGATTGGCTGAAAGCCCAAATCCCAAGACCCATATCAATCGTGATCGTGACACCGAGGAACATGACAAGAAAAAAGGTCTCGCCTTGGTTTGATAGTCCTCGTGTTGAAATTGTGGGCTGTGGGTTGCGTGGGCTTGTGAAGATGGCGGTTTGGACGAGGTCATAGACGGCATGGGCCGCTCCCAAGACAAGGCGGGCCGTTTGACCATGCCTGTGCCGCTGAAGAAGTCATTGTCCTGAAAGCTCACTGGAGCTTCAGGAGGTCCAGTGACTTCAGACTCATGCGAGATGAATACTGTCTGGTGACGGTCTAGGTGTGAGGAAGTGGAATAGAGACGCTCATATCTTACCTGTCAATAGGGCCATCGTGGCCAGCGATTCGTCCAGGTCCGTTGACCGCGCCGTATTGTAAAAGTGATAGAAATCCATCCAGCCAAGGCATGCGCAAGCTGAGCTCAAACAGATTTCCAAGGCATGTCCATACTCGACACGACAGGATCGGCGCCTTAACAGGGTCGAATGACCTCGGCGGAGACTTGTCGTGATCCAACAAAGCTTCTTTCTCATCCAAGGGCGTGGCCCTAGCAGGGAGGGACGATGCCATCACCAGAGCAGTCGTGATAAACCGGAGCGAGGCGACTACCACCATCCCAAGCTGAATAACAGCAAGGAACATAGACCTTACAGACCAGCTGCGACGGCCTTTTACGTCAACCTTGGGCCCACCGGCATCGTTTTGGGTCTCTGCAACCACTACCCCTTCGTCTTTTCTCTGTCGCAAGACCCTGGCCGTGATGCAGATGCCCTCATACAGCATCCATGGCTGAGAGGCCTTATTGGCTATAACGTTACCAATTATAAGCTCTGAAAAGATCTGTTCAACGAGAGACGTAAGACAAGGGTTCTCGAGGTCTTCCGTGGGCAATAGGATCGCGAGGACGCCCTGAACCAGCAATTGGCGATACAATGCTTCATTCTCCTTCTGGTCGGATATCGTGTCTGGGCAATCTGGGTGGGGGACTGGTGCGAGGTGTGGCAGAGGGCACATGGCATGGTAGGCCTCTCGAGGGTCGACCTCAACAGGCTGTCTGGCGATAGGGCTATGAGAGATACGGTATGCTGGTCACCGTTAGAAAGGAACGGCGTCGTAGAGTTCAAGTTCTCACATGTTATGTGCTTGTCCAGCAAGTCAGGTATCTCATCCAATACTAGGCTCTCTAGATCAACCTTGCGGAACCGCTGTTCCAATGCTCGGGAACAGTGGGCTATAATGTGCAATATCTCTGATACAAACTGTTCATCCGTAGTGATTTTGCTATACCAGCTCTGCACGAATTCTCTCATGACAATAGCGAGCAGGGCGTACAACTGAAGGTCGACATCGTTGCGACTAGTCAATGGTGGAAGTAGCTCGTCTATAGGCACTTGCGAATCGCGGCTCTTCTCCCCCAACTGAGGGGAGCAGAGGGTACGACGTATCAGAAGCGAAGTCGCTCGGTCGAATAAGGGATCGGTAGCATTAGAGCGTAAAGGGCGGCGAGTAGGAGAGGCCATATTGGCAGAGGTCGGCGACTCGGTATCAAAGGCAACCGATTTGGGGCGTGGGACTGGCGGACGGGCAGGAGGCACGGCTGGAGCCAGAGAGGGAGTAGCGGTCATGACCGAAGTGATTGGCGAGTCTCCAGTATCATGACCTGGTCGGTGAGCGGGAGGAGGATGGCGATGGCGATGGCGATGGCGAGTTTGAGGGATGTTCGATTTCGAGGTTTGGGGTTGAAGTCAAGTTAACATCGGGTCGCAGGGCAGGCCGCATACATACATCCATTCCATGTTAAGCTCCTGTCTCCTGGCTCCTGCCCGCGCACGGCACGGCTTGGCCCGTTACCTGAACCGTGCGCTGCATGCGCGGGGAGTCCGCAGGCATGAGATAGGTACATACCTTAGTACTGAGTTACCATACCCATGCTGTAACTTGCTGAGTAGCAGAAATGAACATTCCAAACAGCCCGATTAAAGTGGTATAAATTGATCGAATACAGTTCAAGCCATCGAATGATCAGTGCAATACCTACCAAGCCTACAAGCCTACAAGCCTACAAGCCTACAAACCAAGGTAGCTGCTAACCCTGACCTGGTGGTAATCTTCAGTGGCGGAAACGTAGAAATTCTGTTTCAGGAGATGTTCTTTTTCTGCTACCGCTCATCCTCAAAGATGTTCAACTCGGAGGAATGCGAAATGCTTCCGGTACTATGAATTCTGCCAGCCGGCACCTAGGTATACTACAGATTCTGTACATTATTGGTACAACTGCCTCCTCGTCGTTTCTATCTACCTACACAAGGCTATATTCAGGCATCCCTTGTGGCCGTCTCATATCTGCAATTGTACAATCAGTTCAGCTCGTTTTCAACAATGGATTGACAACAACATACCTCTTACCACGGAATGCCCACACCCCCCAGTTACCACAGCTGACATCCTGGGGGTCCATGTCGTTCAGATCCCATCGAAGACTCCTGAAAACATTCTCTCCAGGCTGCAGAAGAATATCAAATTCGCCCTTCGACTTCTTGTTCACCCACTCGACGTCGCGTTCCATGTCAAACTGGGTATAGCCTGTACTGATAATAGGGATCTTAGTCTCGAGGAGAAGGGGTAGGGTTTCTTCCCACTCGTGGCTGCTTGCAGGATGACCCAAACCAGGGTGGAATAGCACAAAGCAGTCGAAGTAAGGATCGTATGGTGCAAAGTGTTGCGTCTGGTGGACTGTGTGGTAGTAGTCCACGATTGTACTTATCTTCATCTTGTACCAGACGCGATCCTCTACCACGGCTCCAAAGGGGTTTGAAGGGGTACGTTCTGGCAACGGAAACTCGTCGTCACGGTTGGCCATGCTTTCAGGCCCAACAAAGATGAGGTGTAGCCTGGCTTCGGGGAACATATGTGCCAGCTGAACCCAGGCAGGTCGAGGGAGAGAAGATTCAGCACGTGCCCCCAGAATGAAAATTCTAACAGCTGGTGCCTCGGGTTTGAGCTCACCAACGCCAGTTCCTCGACCTGACTTGGGAGGATGCAAGTTGTATCTCAATGCTAGTACCATCAATCAGTTCATGGCTATTCTCTGGTCAGTCGTTGCACTAACCGCTGAAACTCTTCAGTCCCTCTGTGGTCATTCGCTCTCCAGCCTTGATGCTGTAGGGGCTAAGTTCATGGAGAATACTGCCAATGGTTACCGGATAAGTCAAGAGCCGGGTAATCTGTCTCATCTGACGATCAGAGTTGACAGCATCAAACTCTCTTGTATACATGAAAGTATCCCAGTTTGTCATGTTGATCGCTGCATGTTCCATCTGAAGATCTGGGAGGTTGCCTTCTTCGAATACTCGCCCTGAGCGCAAATCGTGGTCATCTTCGTTGATTTGTCTAAGAGTGTCGCAAACTTCCAAGTGCTTTTCGTAATCATCCATCCAATGCTCCTCGCAGCAATAAACTGGTAAGCCACAGTCTGGGCATTCGAAGTTGACATGCTGGGGCGGCTGGGTGCCTTTCGCAGCCTCGGGGTCCTCGGGTTTCGGCGCAATGGTAGGAAGCTTCGTTTGCTGGTGGTCGGGGTGAGGGCAGTAGGCATGCTGTCGCATAAAAGCAGCTCGTTGCCGGAACTCTGGTACTGGCGACTTTGAAAACGGGTGAAAGAGGTTGTCTTGACTCAGGCGCAATGGTGACGGAGACGACTTATTGGTCATAGGTGCGGTGGCCTCGGATTTTGTCCCTGAGGAAGTGGAAAAGCCTCGGTCCTTGGGCGTAGGCGTAGCTCTTCTTTGGTCCTTGGTCGTTGAATGTCTGCGGATATGGTGGGCTGATATCCTCATCCATGGCCTAGCTGCCGCTCCAGAGGCCAATTGCCTCCGAACAGTTGCAGAACATTGCCCACAGATGCTCGAGGCTGCTTTCCTCAGAGTAGGCTCCATCTTATAGACAAAACCAACCAGATCCCGGACACAGTTCAGTACCTAGATTTCTTCGGAAGGCCTGATATTGCTGAAGTGGGATAATTCAAAGAGCTCGGACCACAATTATCTGCGCCGCAAAATAATTCCTCCGAAGCGCGCCAAACTTTTGACATCAAAGCTCGCTCGAATTTCAAAAGCTCCAACCATCAGCTTCGACGCGACAGAATCAGACCTGCTTTTGTCTTTGAAGCCACGCAGGCTCATCTGCGCCTAGCCGCAAACATGGCGACCACGTCGAACATGTTCTTGTACTCGCTGACGGTTCAGCCTCCGACAAACGTCACGCAAGCGGTCCTGGGCCAGTTCGCAGGCACCAGAGAACAGCTTATTATCACTGCTGCTGGCTCGCAGCTCTCTCTACTACGACCCGATCCATCCCAGGGAAAGGTAATCACCCTCCTATCACATGATGTCTTTGGCATCATCCGTTCCCTCGCCGCTTTTCGGTTGGCTGGTAGCAATAAGGGTAAGTCAATCCAATACCCCTCTCAGGAAAATCACTTAGTGATATTCGAAAGCGATGCCACAGACGCGTCGACCATAGCGCTACCGAGTACTTGATGTCCTGTTGCAAGAATCCCAAAGCTAACAAACCTTCCAGACTACTTGATCATTGCGTCCGACTCTGGTCGTATCACAATCATTGAGTACCTCCCTGCACAGAACCGCTTTCACCGTTTACATCTCGAAACTTTTGGCAAATCCGGTGTACGGAGAGTCATCCCTGGCGAGTATCTAGCCTGCGACCCTAAAGGTAGAGCATGCTTGATCGCTTCAACTGAGAAGAACAAGCTTGTCTATGTTCTCAACCGTAACTCACAAGCCGAGCTCACAATCTCGTCACCGCTTGAGGCCCACAAGCCAGGCGTCCTGGTCATCTCTATGGTTGCGCTTGATGTTGGCTACTCGAACCCGGTATTTGCCGCGCTCGAGATTGACTACTCCGAGATTGATCAAGACTCGACCGGCCAGGCAATGGAAGAGTTGGACACCCAACTGGTCTATTACGAGCTTGATTTAGGACTCAATCACGTTGTGCGCAAGTGGTCAGACCCTGTTGACCCAACAGCCTCAATTCTGTTCCAGGTCCCTGGTGGAAATGATGGACCCAGTGGTGTGCTCGTGTGCGGTGAAGAAAATATCACATATCGACACTCAAATCAGGAAGCATTCCGTGTTGCCATCCCTCGTCGACGCGGTGCCACTGAGGATCCGAACCGCAAGCGCACGATCGTGTCTGGTATCATGCACAAGCTGAAAGGCAGTGCAGGTGCGTTTTTCTTCCTCCTTCAAACAGATGACGGCGATCTCTTCAAACTCTCGATCGATATGATTGAGGATGAGGAAGGCAATCCCACTGGAGAAGTCAAAAGACTCAAGATCAAGTATTTTGACACTGTTCCGGTCGCCTCAAGTCTCTGCATCTTGAAGAGCGGTTTCCTCTACGTTGCTTCTCAGTTTGGTAATTACTCATTCTACCAATTTGAAAAGCTCGGTGATGACGACGAGGAACTAGAGTTTTATAGTGATGACTTCCCAGCGGATCCCAGGGCTGCTTACGAACCAGTTTACTTTCACCCTCGGCCAACTGAAAACTTGGCCCTGGTAGAGAGCATCCCTGCCATGAACCCCCTCCTAGATTGCAAGGTCGCAAATCTCACTGGAGAAGACGCACCTCAAATCTACACCATTTGTGGCAATGGCCCCCGAAGTAGCTTCAGGATGATCAAGCATGGCTTGGAAGTCAACGAGATTGTTGCCTCTGAATTGCCTGGAATTCCTTCTGCTGTTTGGACGCTGAAACTGAATCGTGCAGAACAGTACGATGCCTACATCGTACTGTCATTTACCAACGGTACGCTAGTTCTCAGTATTGGCGAGACTGTTGAGGAAGTTAGTGACTCCGGTTTTCTCACAAGTGTTCCAACGCTGGCGGCCCAGCTCCTAGGTGACGATGGACTGATCCAGGTTCATCCCAAGGGCATTCGACATGTGCGTAATGGTCATGTCAATGAGTGGGCCGCCCCACAACATCGCTCCATTGTTGCTGCTACAGCCAATGCTCATCAGGTCGCTGTCGCTCTCAGCTCTGGCGAGATAGTTTATTTTGAGATGGATGCGGACGGCTCACTGGCTGAGTATGATGAAAAGAAGGAGATGTTCGGTACCGTTACTTGCCTAAGTCTGGGTGACGTCCCCGAGGGACGATTAAGAAGTTCGTTCTTAGCCGTCGGTTGTGACGATTGCACTGTCCGCATACTCAGCCTGGATCCAGAGTCGACTTTGGAAAACAAGTCAGTTCAGGCTCTTACCGCCGCGCCAACATCGCTGGCAATTATTGCAATGGATGACTCGTCGTCAGGCGGTTCTACCCTCTATCTCCACATCGGTCTACACTCCGGTGTCTATCTCAGGACAGTTCTTGACGAAGTCACTGGTGAGTTGACAGACACGCGCCAAAAGTTCCTCGGTCCCAAAGAAGTCCGACTTTTCCAAGTCACAGTTCAAGGCAAGACGTGCGTGCTTGGTCTAAGCTCCAGGCCTTGGCTTGGTTACGCAGACCCGATCACAAAAGGTTTTGTAGTGACGCCCCTAAACTATGTCGACCTTGAGTGGGGTTGGAACTTCAGCAGTGAGCAGTGCGAAGAAGGCATTGTTGGTATACAAGGTCAATCATTACGGTACGTTACTATTCCTTTTTTTTTTTTACTCCTGATATCAGTTGCATATGATGAGAAAACGGGATCCTATGCTTTAAGCAATGAGGCCTATTACGCATTTTTTCCAATTGTTCCTACTGAAGCAACACATTCCTACCATGTTCTTGTGGCATCGCAAATCGAGGCATGCGCTAACGATGGCAGAATTTTTAATATCGATCGGCTTGGCGATACACTCATCCAGAAATCAATTCCTCTAACTTATACCCCGAAGAAACTCGTAAAGCACCCTGACCAGCCTCTCTTCTACACTATCGAGGCAGACAACAACACTTTACCGCCTGAGTTACGTGCACAACTTTTGGCAGACCCTAAAATCGTCAACGGTGATTCTAGAGTGCTCCCACCTGAAGATTTTGGCTATCCCAAAGGTACACGTCGATGGGCATCTTGCATCAATGTGATAGATCCGCTTTCCGAGGAAGGACAGGTTGTGCAAACTATTGATCTGGAGAACAATGAAGCGGCAGTCAGTGCAGCAATCGTGTCTTTTTCAAGCCAAGATAACGAGAGCTTTTTAGTGGTTGGTACCGGCAAAGACATGGTGGTCAATCCTCGCAGCTACAGCGAAGGATATCTACACATTTATCGATTTCAAGATGGGGGGCGAGAACTTGAGTTCATTCACAAAACCAAGATTGAAGAACCACCTCTAGCTCTTTTGGCTTTTCAAGGAAGAGTGGCTGTTGCAGTTGGAACACAGCTGCGTATATATGATCTCGGCATGAGACAGATGCTCCGCAAATCTCAGGCTGAAGTCGCAGCGCAGCAGATCGTTTCGCTGAACACCCAAGGCAGTCGAATTATTGTTGGTGATGTCCAACAGGGCGTAACCTACGTGGTATACAAACCTGCATCGAACAAACTCATTCCATTCGTTGATGATACCATCGCAAGGTGGACCACATGCACAACCATGGTAGATTACGAGTCGGTGGCAGGGGGCGATAAGTTCGGAAATATGTTCATTGTCCGCTGCCCTGAGAAGGCTAGTGAAGAGGCTGACGAGGAGCAAACGGGCTTGCATCTTATTAATGCGCGAGAATATCTTCACGGCACACCCCACAGAGTGAGTCTGATGTGCCATTTCTATACACAGGATATACCAACCAGTATCACCAAAACGAGTCTGGTAGTTGGTGGGCAGGAAATTTTACTATGGAGCGGTATCATGGGCACTATCGGAGTTTTCATACCATTTGTCAGCCGTGAAGATGCGGACTTCTTCCAGAACCTCGAACAACACCTAAGGACTGAGGACCCCCCGCTCGCCGGACGAGATCATCTTATGTATCGCGGCTATTATGCTCCTGTCAAGGGTGTCATTGATGGCGATCTATGCGAGCGGTACAACCTCTTGCCCAACGACAAGAAGCTTGTGATTGCCGGCGAATTGGACCGATCGGTCCGAGAGATAGAACGGAAAATTTCTGTAAGTTCTCCTTGGCTCGACATTTGTATCCTCGCAGTGTGCTGACTACATTTCAGGATATTCGTACACGGTCTGCATTCTGATGAAGGAAAAGTGGTATCTTTAGTATATCCTATGAAGCTATTGTACAAAACTTGAAGTGTTTGGGTTGTCAGCGGCGTTAACGTACGGGGCTAAATGTCCCTGTCTTGGAAGAAAATAGGTAATCAACGAACCGAGCCGTGTGTTGAGAACCGCAACGCGGTACGAACCATGAATCTAATATCCAACCCGAAGCTCGATCAGAGTCCTCTCCAGAACGGGCCACGGTTCTTATATTTGTCGGCCTTCTTGCCCTTGCCAGAGGCTGGATTTTCTTGCTCCCATTTTTCGTCGTCCAAATATGCTGTAACAGCGGTCTCAAGATCATAGCTAGATTGTTCCAAGTACAGCACAGCAATGTCATAGTCGGAGACTTTGCAGGATGTCATGAAGCGGCGAATCTTGCCCTTCCTCAGCTCCTCATCTTCGCCCTCGATGGGTCGTGGTGAGAGGCTAACTCCGCCTCTGTAATACTCGCCAGGAATCAACACGGTTCGTCTTCCGAGGAGCAAGTGGTCGCTCGTGATGTTATTACTTCGTCGCAGTGCATGAGCGGGCACGCCGTATCGAAGAGATAAGGAGCTGACGCTGTCATGGCGATGGTCAAGGAAATGCAGGATATCTGGAGCATCTTCTTTGATAGCATCCTGCGCCAATGCAGCCTTCTCATCGTCGGCATTCGACGTAGGTGAGGCTGCGGAGTATGGTGGCGGCGCGCCGGAGATCTGTGCAGTCCTTGAACTGGACGATGGCAGCGATGTATAAGCCGGCGGTTCCCTCAACCCTTGCGGCAGAGACGTCGGCCCTGTCGAAACCTGACAGTATGGACAATAGTCGGCAAATCGCTCGTTCTTCTACCAAGCAAGAGTATTAGTTTCAGGCTGGGTAAAAGATGATTATTTAGATAGATGACGAACATGGATACATTTGCCACAGATGATTCTCGCACAGCATGCGACTCGACGATCTTGCGGAAGAGATAGCTTCTCTTCCGTGTACGCTGGTGTTGAGGAGAGGATGGTTGCACACGTCGAGCAAGACTCCATGATATTGTGAATATTGAAGTCAGTTTGTTAGGTCAAGGTTCAAGAAAATAGATCCGTATCTACCCCTAAGGATTCTACTTGTACAGTTCATTTGAAGGCTGCACACCTATCCTCCCACGAAGGTCGTGCTTGTCCAATCACGTCATGGGGACGCTAGTGGCCTGTATAGACGCCACCCGACTGTAAAACGGGTGGTTGCATTTGTATCGATCATATCCACGCGATTCAAAAAAGACGTTATCATAAGCAGAAATGCACAGAAAGAATAACAATAAACAATATCTTGACTGCTGAACCTAAAAGTTTCCTCTTACTATCGGCCCTGCACATGTTGCTATACTTCCGTTTTGTCCCAATCAAATGTGACCTTGAGTCTCAGGTGTCTCCGCTGAGCCTTTCACCTCTGTCGCAATCCTCAGCCAAGACTCTCTAACCTTAACCTTTTCAACTTACCAAGCCCACCATTCCCAACATCGCGTTTCGTCTATACTTGTTCAACCTACACTTGGCCCAAGTCATATTACAGCGATCTATAACAGCACCCAACATGAGCAAACCATTGGCCTTCGGCCTCAACCTTAGCAAGAAGCCAGGCGCGTCGAAGCCCCCTCCACCGAAACGAAGACCGATGTTTGGTGACGATGATGATTCCGACAACGAAGGCACAGTCAGGGAGGGCAAAGCTGAAGAAATTGGAGAGTTCGATAACCTTAGTCGCGCTCAAGCCGCCAAAGCCAACATCACCAAATTAGGCAAACCGAAGAGTGGTCCTCCGACTCAACCCCCGAAGCTCAAATCCAAGGGTCAGCCAAACATAATGTTTGGTGATCTCTCTAGCTCTCTGGCGTCACGAAGAAACGCTGAGGCTGCCACGGAAGTCGATGCTAGCGTCTACGAGTACGATTCTGTTTACGATTCTCTCAAACCAAAGAAACTGGTCACGAAGGAGGATCAAGAAAAACAGCCAAAATATATGAAAAACATCCTGCAGGCAGCCGATGTACGGAAGCGCGACGCATTGATTGCAGAGGAGAAGAAAATTGCGCGGGAACGAGAGGCCGAAGGAGAGGAATTCGCCGACAAGGAAAAGTTTGTCACAGAAGCATATCGTAAACAACAGGAAGAGAATAAGAGGCTCGAAGAGGAGGAGAGGAGACGGGAAGAGGAAGAGGCAAAGAAGAACAAGGGTGGTGGCATGTCTGCCTTCTACAGAAAGCTTCTCGATAAGGATGAGCAAAGGCATTCGGATGCTGTCAGGGCGGCTGAGGAAAAGGTTAAGCACGGCCCACCCGAGGAGGAGAATGCAGACGACGACGAGCAAGAGAAAGAGAAGACAGAGGCCGATATCGCCAAAGAGCTTAACGAGAAGGGCGCCGCAGTTGCCATCAACGAAGACGGTCAAGTGGTGGACAAGCGCCAGCTTCTCAGGGGTGGTTTAAACGTTGGCGTGAAGAAGAAAGAATCAGTCCAACGCGAAGCGGAACGGCAAGCTGAGCGGCCGCGGAAGGATGTGGCAAATCATCACTTTGGAAGAAAACAAGCTCAACGAGAACGACAGTCACGCATGATCGAGCAGCAGCTTGAGCAATCAATGAAGCGATCACGGGATGACGAAGCGGCACAAAGGGAAGAAGTCGAGCGAGCTTCGAAGAGCCGGAAGACAGAGGGCGAGATCTCAAGTGCGAAGGAACGATACCTAGCTCGAAAACGAGCGGCCGAAGAAGCGAAGAAGGCTGCTGGGGGAACTTAGATACCCAAACTCAGAAATTGAAGAAGGCTGTATACAACGACATGGCATGGCTATTGACACAGCATCCCACTCATGTCTCCTCCGGTTCGTCTATTGCCCTGTTCTATCCTTAATCGATTCTTCGTAAATGATAATGTCTCCTCCTGGGCGTCATCCGACCCGTGTTGTCACAATATGTTACAATCTTGCGCTTTCATAAAAATTGTCGCAAGCCGTTGGTTTTTTTTATTTTGAGAATCTTCGCCTCTTCAATTCTGCAAGCTAGCAGACTCTTGCCTTAATCGGGCAATGTATGCTGCGTTGACCATGTTCCAAGCGGCCATGTACTTCTCCATGCAGCTGGTCATGCAAGTCGTCTCGCCGCTCGATAGAGAAGTTCCGGGCTTGGGGACGCACTTCTCAAAGCAAGTCTCTTGGAGTTTCTACGTAGGCTATTGTTAGTCTTGGGTAGAAGGTAAGCAATTGCGAAATGGACGAACCTCAATGAGAGTACGGGCGTTAACCAAGTTGGCCTCCTGCTGGACCTGCTTGATGACAGCAGCCTTGACCTGTGTGGAATCCATGGTTGTGATGTTCGTTTGACAGTCGTGACGTTAGTTTGTCTATAGGTAAGCTTGGGCGACTGTCTATCGCAAAAACGTCGCGGGCTGGAAAAACTATCGGTCCGGGGAAGTGCTCATCAGCTTCACTCGATTTAAATCAAACCTAAGTTGGAACCATAATCAGCTTCATTGACTTACAAAAGCTCCTGGATTCGGTAGCTAATAGTCGTTTCACACCCAACCACTTAACCTCAGATTGCTATGGTTTCTAGCTAAGTCTCTGTGTTTCTCATGATCACGTATCGTGATAGGTGTCGATATACAGACATGACTTGTTTGCAACCTGGAGGAAAGCCAATAACAGTACCATTTATTACAAGCAGAAAGAATTTGTTATGTGTTAAGAAGGGCCTTGATTGTAGTCGAGGCCTGTTTTCTGGACTACAGAACACCCTGCGCTTTCCCTTTGAGATACCGCATTGGTATCCTCAATGTTGCCCTGCTTAATTGTAAGGATGATATAGACTCTCTCGGCCTTGAGACCCAACATCCAACTAAGGCGTCGGTCGGAAGTAGCGTCTCTGGGAGTCTATATAGTAAGGGTAGAGGTCTTGTTCCTGGTGCTGACTTGTGTGGGGCTTCCCACCATTGTCAGTTCATTTCTTCCTCGCCCTGTAGCGAACAGAAACTGCGTCACTTTACGCTGAGGGAGGTCTTGGGATTTTCACCCCTGGCCAGTGCCCGAAGTGGTCAACTTTCTTTCTATGTCATCCAAGGATGATCGAATAGGAATCTCGCCAGTCACGGTTATACTACCGAGTTCTTGCTTGTATGGGAAACCGAAAAATGTGTGCTCCTGTTGAATCCGGGAGATAGATCCATCTCGTCCCTCCGTACACTTATCCCAGTGCGGGACCCGATCCTGTTGCCATCCTCATCGAAATATACGTTTGCGTTATCCTCTATGGCCCAACCGCTGCTGCTAGGCATGGATGTGACGGGAGGAAGTAGACTGCCATCCCTAGCACCGCGCAGAATGCAGAACGCCTTTCAAACCCTCAATACCTGGGGCTCGTGACTGTCCCCGGGAGTGGGACTTGAGCCAGCTCTTGGAGAAGCGGTCTCCGGCGGACGGTGCCATTGTTATAAAAACGGCTACATGAGAGTGTTGGATAAAGAATACGGAGACATGGATGAAGTGCCAGACAAGATGCAAGTTGCAGATAGCAGTATTTCGAGGACCTCAGCTAATGTTCCAGTTCAAAGAATATTGATAAACCTGGGCCATGCCTATGCGGTCTATCAAAGCTGAAGATCTTGAAATATCCAATGAACGACAGGTCCTTTCCTACTCAAACCCTACAAAGAACGGCTGTCTTCAACCCAGTGTCGCTGCAGAAGTATCTGATCATCATATTTGGACCGCCAATCGGACTCACAACTTCAAGCCCTTCTTGCATGTTGGTATAAGGACCTATTGCTTTCCCATTTCCGTTCAAGAAGCCAGGCTACACATTAGTTCACCTTCAGTCATCAGTCCGCGTCGAGTTAGAAGGCGTTGCGGGTATACATATCAAATTAACAACATCACAGGAACCTTCGGGCCGGTGGCTCTGAACAAGAGAAGCATGATACTGAAGAAACCACCTTTTTTGGACAGGGTTTTATTGTTCGAACCGCGCCTAATAGGTAGGAATAGTGTTTTTCTTTGCTTTTCTTTACTTGTCACCCTCCCCTTACGTTTCTTTGAAACGGTACAAAAGCTGCAGACTAAGTTAAATAGCCAGGGAGACTAATTTTTGGGGGCGAGGTCCCATTATCAAGAATGGGTCAATCAGAACATCCCATGGAACCACCAACACCAAGTAAAATTGGTACCAAACAGTATATATGCGTGAGATTACCGCCATGTGTTTGTCAGTATCGTTTTCAACAGAGATATCCAGTACAACAAGACTCGTTCTACTGTAAGTACCTCGACTACACCGGTGGCCGAGACTGGCAGCATCATATAGTAGGCAAGCGAAGACGAACACAAGCTTCCATGGTACCGAATTCAACGATTAACTCCCTATGTGGATTGAGGACAAGATCAAGCCTAACGGAACAAGCGTCATCCCTGGTGGGCTGGACGCTGTTGTGCAATTGTTGCAGGTAGATGGATGCCAAATTTCCTTAATCACTTGTGAATGAACCCGGGTTTCCTTTTGATTCACGGTAATTACTGAATGCCTTATGACGCTGTAGTATGATCGTGGTCGTTAGTAAATACATGGTTCACAATGGAGGGGCTGAGGTCTTGAAATAAAGCAATACATCCACTGAAAGACAATGTGGCTACTGTGGCTTGAGAGTTTCATCAAGGGTCGAGTGGGAGGGGTTGCCAGCATCCAGAGTGGGAAAGTACCTACAGTGGGGACCACTCACCTAAAATCGTTTCGGCCACAGGCAGAGTCTAGGTAGAGGAAGAGGACACTTGTGCTAGCTCCTTATCCCATTGACAACCCCCTACATTTATCAGCAACGTCACAACGACTTTGACAGCGACCACTGTGGTCAATTTCATCCTGCTCCAGCACCAAACCTCACGACTTTGTTGCCGCATCCCAGAGCGGTTTGCGCCCATATCGAGCCAGCTCTAATTGGCACTGTACGAGAGAAGAGAGACCGTCATAATATAGCTTCATCATGCGGTTGCCCTCGTTATCAGCAGCGCTCCTTGGTGCGCTCGCATGGACTGCCCGCGCTGATGATCTTGATGATAACATCAGGAGTATTTCGGTATGTGCTCCTGCCTTCTTCTGGCCGATCATCTGGAGCTTCTTTGCTAACATTCTTCACTCTGTAGCTCAGGACACATTCCTTGACCCAGGTTAGTTGCGGCGCACGCGAGCAGTCATTCACGGATCGACAGATCAGTTAACTCTTTTACTCGACAGCCCTACCTGGACTCGGACATGCAAAGCCGCTGGTACGACTTTGGCGGAGATACCATTATTCGAACCGATTCGTATGCATCCTCAATTCGCTGACAACGTTGTACTTCGGATGTGAGTTGACTTTTAATAGGTACATTCGACTTACTTCGGATCGTCCATCGCAGTCAGGGTGGATGTACTCACGAGTTCCCCTCACTGCGACAAACTGGCAGGTCGAGGTTGAATTCAAGATCTCGGGCAAGAACCAGCTTTATGGAGACGGATTTGCTATGTGGATAACCCGCCAACGTGCGCAACAGGGTACTGTCTTTGGAGGACCCGACAACTTCGAAGGCCTCGGGGTCTTCATCGACACTTACAAGAACAACCGTCCCGGCGTTGTCTTCCCCTATGTCATGGCCATGTATGGTGATGGCAAGACCTCCTACGACAAATCCAACGATGGAAAGCACACCGAGCTCGCTGGCTGCTCTGCGCGTGGTATTCGACATGCGAGTGTCCCCACCAAGATGCGCCTCACCTACTTCCAGGACAAACAACTCAAGCTAGAGCTCCAGTACAAGGTTGAGGATGAGTGGCAGACGTGCTTCGACCTTGAGGATCCCCCAGCCATTCCTAACATTGCCTATGTTGGTTTCACTGCTGAGACTGGTGAGCTCAGCGACAACCACGATATCATTTCCGTGGCGGCCAAGAACCTTTACACTCAGCCTGGCACCAGCAACACTGGCAAGTCGTCTGGCACTAAGAACAAGGGACGCAAGGGCACCGGTAAGACCACCAACGGAAACAATCAAGGTGGTAGCTGGACATGGTTCTTTACCAAAATCATCCTGTTCATCATTGTTGCTGGCGGTGCTTATGTTGGCTACACTGCGTACCGAGCCAAGGCCAAATCGCACAGGTTCTAGGCTGGATCGCTGAGTATGAATGGGGCCAGCGCCTGAAATGAAGTGACGGAAACAATTTGGTGAGACAAAAAGGTCTCCGCTTAGACAGCATCATTCAGCTTTTCTTGAATCTTTTGTATCTGTGTTTTGAGTAAGGGAGAGGCGACGAGAAGGGTACAAGCCGGTGAGCATTGTGACGTACCCTTTGATACGGAAAAAAAAATCTACTATTTGGTTAAGTTATGACTACAGGTTCATGTTTCGACTGTTCCCTTTTAAAAGTTGACTTGGTGAGGTAGAGTTGTTAGGAGAGGGGAGGCCTCGTGAGCATTAAAAAACGCAGCCGTTGTATCATAACCAACAGACGAACGCACCGCCGATGGTCCAATATAAGCATACCGATCGAGCCTTTCCCGGCAATATATACATATAATTAAAACTAAAATATAACCAATAAATGCACAGCCAATGATCAATTGATATGAAAGTCAAATTAGCTTCACGGAGAATCGTTGGTGGTTTCTGAAAACGGCGAACTTTAGGGTAACTAATTTTCCTATAAGACAGGTTATATATACACAGAGGCAAAATCAATCACAAGATATGACTTAGAGGAAAATGTTGGTTAAGCCCTGTAGAAAATATGTAATTGATCAAACTTATGTACATCTGAGCCATTGGGGTCGGTGAATATATTGAGCTAATGGCTCTGAATGAAAAGGGTTGGCCTTCTTATATATCCACAACAGCCTCTTTCTACATGCAGAATAAGAGCAAACATCAGATAGTACATGGAGATGCAATTCGGCTTCAACTTCTCATGCAAAGGCGCAGTGCAACACCAGATTATATTAATGTACTTCATGTATGTTCAGATAACCTACTTGAGTCTCCAATACCCAAAGTTATTAGTGATCAAACTGAGCACAAAGGATATACGACATTCCACTACATCCAAGGACCCGAGGGCAATTCATCTCGTCTAATCACTACACGTTCCAGCGGGCGCACTAATACTGAGCCGGGAGCTTGATTGAGTTATGACTGATCACAAGGAAGCTTTCGTGAGTCGGCCTTGGTCTAGTTGATCATCTACTCATACGAAAGCCCTCTCTTACATCCTCTCTAGATCTAAGTACCTTAGGTCGTAACTTCAACACAGGAAGCTCCCGTCGGCTCATGGATCGGATATCCACCCCGCCTTTGACTCGAGACAGCCCACTTTCTCTCTAGTGGCGCCAAGCGCCGAATCTCGTCCAATGTCGAGATAGTAGTTTCATCAGCTCTATGCCTTACAGTACCTACTCCATTGTGCTGGGCCGTTCTTCTTTTCGCTGTAGCTCCTGATGTCAGCTTTTGAAACACCCAATAAACGGCCCGGATACTACTTGTGTCTTTTGTCTTTGCTGAGCTCTCTCCCTTCCATTCCAATCCGACCTAGGTAGGTAGTTAGTGAGATCCCTCTCATACAGGGCGCCAACCCTCCCACCAGTCTCGACTTTTCCTCACTCAACCCATCTTGTTTGGATCTACTCAATCTACGTCTTGTTCCTTTCATCTCACTTGAATTTGATCTTCTACGTATTTTATGTCCATCTCCATCATCTTCACCCTCATCGTCAGCCAATCCCACCTCATTGCTTAACTCAATTGTCGTCACTCGTGTACTATTTGGTCCTGTGCACGCTACTACACGTCTCGCCGAGTACTCGCTGTGTGCTCTTTGTCCTCGGTATTTGCAATTTCAACCAAGTCTATTAGAAACATCGACATCATCGCATTGCTCTCTATGCTCTGATCCAGCCCGTGCCATTCTTGCCATCCTCGCGGCTGCTATAAGCTACTAGTTACATGCTAGAGCTGCAGATCAATTAACCAATTGCCGCTAAAGAGATATCGTCTTGACAAGTTGGCGCCTCTTTTTGGACACGAACCGACACAAGGCACCGCAAGCGAGCTCACAAGAGCGAAGAAGCCCGCGGCAATAGCAACTCGCGGCATCATTTTGTGCCCATCAGTATCAGTACCAGCTCCCGCTCGTGTTCAATCGTTGATCCGATCTGAAAGAGGGGCAACTTTCGTTGTGGGCGGAGCTCCAATTACTACCTACATCATCACCGGCCTGCTTAAACCTTGTACCGTCACTAGCTTGCTTAAGGTGCCTTATTCTGGGTTGCCCTGCCTTCACAATCATTCATATCCCATTCTCTTGTGCAAAAATTTTGGTCACTCACAATTAGACGGGCTCAGTTTTGGCATGGCTGTTTGAACGGCGAAAAACCAAAACCAAAAGCATCTTTCAAGGCACAGAAAGTCTCAAACGAGGGCTCTTTGGCTATTCGTTATCCTACCTATCCCTCCACCTTTGCCAGCCACCAGAGAGAGCCAAGGAATAGTATCAGCCATCCAATTGCCGGCCTCGGGTGGAATGCGCCAAGAGTCCAAATCCTTTGTTCACTTACGAAACCAAAAAGAAGGAAAAACAAAGCCCAGGTTCTCACCACCGAGCATTGTCTTTATTCTCACTGTCCTATCCACGCATGCTTGTTAGGCCCATAGCTCTGGATACCGTTGTTTACTACCTAACCTAACCTAACCTCTGAGCGAGCTGAAAGAGAGCTTCCCCACAGAAAGACAGGCTGATCTTGAACAGACGAGACCAGCACGTCACGTCAGCCTCCAGCCTCTCCCCACTATTACGTTGCTGTACCTGAACTTGAAAGAGCTGCAATTGCAAGGTTAGCTCGGGCTAGTAGGTTGCACCAGGCGAGCTCACTGACCTCTTGCTGGTCCAGGAGACGCAAACGTGCTCAAATCCCTCCAACTTTGCTGTCTCATCCATCTGTCCCTCTCTCTATTATCTCTTCCGTATCTGTCATCCTGTTGTCAATCAATCGGAGAGCTCTCAGTAAGGCATAATTCAACCGATTATCCCACAATTGGATCCATCCACATCCACCACAAGCCCACCACAAACCAAGCTGAGAAGCTGGGCTGGGTAAACTGACCTGTTCCGTTCCGTTCGATCGATCTGCACAGAGTGTTTCCTCATCTTTGGGTCCATTCTACCGCAACCACCACCACTACACACTAACTACGACTACCTATCTCATCCCCTCCCCGCTTCCCGTCTCTTGCAATTCTCTCCCCCCTCTCTTTCTGTCGTCACACTATTACTACCCTATGCCTTCACTGGGGTTTCTCAAGAAAAAGCGGACCAGAGAGGGCAACTCTGACCCTTCTGCTTCAAGTCCAACTAGTCCAGTTACTCCTACCACTTCCAGGTCCAAGTCCATCTCCAAAGCTTTTCACCTGCCTCGAACAAGCAGGCAATCCACCTCAGCACCAAGTGCCCAACCAACCAACGGCCAGAACCAGAACCAGCAACAGCAGCAGCAGCAGCCCGACCAGATTCAGGAAGGTGCCGTGTCTCAATCGAATCAATCCTCTGCGCCGAATGAGCAGACGACAGCAGCTACGGGCGGACAGCAACAAGAAGATATGAGCGCAATTAACCTCCATCAACCCTCATACGGTGCGGGCAGTCCTATGAATCACGATCATCAGAACCTACCCAGCATCAATAACCTCATCAACCCGCCCCAGCAGCAGCACAATGCCCAGGGCAATTCCTACAACAACGGCCAGACCAACCCGCAGTACCTAGCCGCCACGATAGACAGCCATCGACCGCAGACCGTCAGTCCCGGAACTGATCCCGCAGCCCTCCAACAGCAGCAGCAGCAAGCTCTGCCACAGCCGAGTATGCCTCCGCAACAGCAACAGCAACAGTCGCAGGCGCAGGCGCAGCAACAACACCAGCAGCCATCTCAGCAGTTCCAACAACAGCAGAACCAGAGTCAGAATCAAGCGCAACAGCAACAACAGTACCAACACCAGCCGCACCATCAACAGAACGCTAGCACCGGTTCAGTCATGCGCGTAACAAAGGGAAAATACTCGTTGGGTGACTTCGATATCTTGAGGACGCTTGGAACTGGTAGCTTCGGTCGAGTACATTTAGTCCAATCGAAGCACAACCAGCGTTTCTATGCGGTCAAGGTGCTCAAGAAGGCCCAGGTGGTCAAAATGAAGCAAGTCGAACATACCAATGACGAACGTCGCATGCTAGCTGACGTCAAACACCCTTTCCTTATCACCCTCTGGGGCACTTTCCAGGACCCCAAGAACCTCTACATGGTGATGGATTTTGTTGAAGGTGGAGAGCTGTTTTCACTTCTGAGGAAGTCGGGAGTAAGTTTGATATGATACTCTCCAAAAAACCCATTTGACCCGACTAACACACTGCAGCGTTTTCCTAACCCCGTTGCCAAATTCTACGCCGCGGAGGTCACTTTAGCTTTAGAATACCTCCATTCAAAGAACATTATATACCGCGATCTCAAGCCGGAAAATTTGCTGCTTGATCGGCATGGCCATCTGAAGATCACAGATTTCGGTTTCGCGAAGCGTGTGCCTGATAAGACGTGGACTTTGTGTGGTACTCCGGATTACCTAGCGCCTGAAGTGGTCTCTAACAAAGGCTACAACAAATCCGTGGATTGGTAGGTTATTGCGACTGGCGATAGAACAGAAATGGACTAACATGTTTGGCGTACCAGGTGGTCCCTGGGTATCCTGATATACGAAATGCTTTGCGGTTACACTCCCTTCTGGGATAGTGGATCTCCCATGAAGATCTACGAAAACATTCTCAAGGGCAAAGTTAAATATCCGGCATACGTCAACGCGGACGCTCAAAATCTCCTTGAGCGTCTGATCACAGCCGATCTCACAAAGCGACTAGGTAATCTCTACGGAGGCCCAGATGACGTGAAGACCCATCCTTGGTTCGCTGAAGTCACCTGGGATCGATTAGCCAGGAAGGACATTGACGCACCTTACACGCCACCAGTCAAGGCGGGTGCTGGAGACGCGAGTCAATTCGATCGTTACCCTGAAGATCCCGAGAAGTACGGAGTGGTTACGGCACCAGATGAGTGAGTGATGATTTGCAATCTCCATTAATTGACCACACTAACCCTTTCCAGGTACGGTCATATGTTTACGGAGTTTTAAGAAAGTGCTTGAGAGCGAGTTATGGATGCACTTGTATGATTAGGTTGGAAACAAACCTCTCTTGGTGTAGTCAACTTCGGGTGGGCGTTCATGCTGGTGCGCTTTCGTCTTGGATATGAGATGCTGGAACTGTGTTATTTTTCGTTGGTTCATGTTTCACGCAATTGCAGGAAAGGGTTGATGAAAAAGACGGCACCTGGGAATCTCTGGTTGGAGAGTTGGTTGGCTGTTGGCTGTTGGTTGATGAGCTCAGTTTGGAAAGCCAGGTGAACACATCCTATGCAAGTAGTAGCCCAGGCCACAGAATAGCCTTGAACGAATATCCGTACTGCGGCATCCTTATACTCAAGTACCCATAGTATATCTAGTCCGTCTTGGTGACTAATTGATGAATATGCGCAATTCCATTAATGTTTTCAGTCTATCAACGTTGCTATGACGTTTCCTTTATAATTTTTGTCAGAAACTACGGAGTATCTCTATCCGTAGAATCCCCAGCTAATAGAAAGTCTGCTTCATCTTCCACCGCTGTGATTGAATGGCTGGCTCCACTCAGCCACTAAAGAACGGGTTCGGGTTCCTCTTTTAAGTGGCGCTAAGTAAAGCTGGGGTTGGGATTTTGGGAGCGGCCGCCATCAATCTCCGAAGGGACGGACCGTTATGAAAGAATGTGCTTGTCTTTGCTGTACTTTGCAGTTCACACAAAATATTCAAAAGATGGCGAGGTTGGGTTGTGATCTAATGACAAGGTACCTAGGCAGGTAATACTGCTTCCCTTTCAATTGATTCAATTCATCATTGATTTTATGTTCGACAGGACAGAACCGATGCCCATTTCTCGATGCTTTTTTCAATCAATGCATGTCACCCTGTCTGACATTTGATTCAGCCTCATCCAATACCTGGGTAAGATGCCTAGGTAGTCACAATCCCTACTAGCCCTGTGTCTTATAAACTCACCGATTCTTTTGCTTCTATCCGTACGTTTTCTTCTCTCTTGTACCAAGTCCAACATTCACCTCTTGATCGAGTCCTCCAAAAAGCCCACAGCCAAGCTTTGACTAGCGACCTGCAAGGACCAGGACGGGCAGCGAATCCGGTGGAGGTGGCTTTTTTTAGGACATTGGATCCAATGTGAGAGATCTTAAAAACACCCGCCTTCTGGATACCTACCTACCTACCTACCTNNGCAGCATCTTAGCTCGGATTCTTGCATCGCAGTCGCAATGGAAGACTATTTGTTTCGACATTACGTTGACCAGTGTCGCGTTGTCAAAGAAGAGACCAGCTATATCCAGGTCTTCAATTACTCGGTAAGTTATGTCTCGAATGGACTTTGTATCAAGAACAATGCTTGCTAATGCGCTCACTAGGATCCGTTCTATGATGTCTGCGAGGAGCACCCCTTGCCCGATGATGAATTTGACAACTTTCTTCATCAAAGGGTAAGTCAATGCCTTGAAACGCAAAGTATCCCATATCGCAGGACTCAATTGACAAGGATAGGGTGCCTTTGCGCCGCCAGATCATCTGAGGTCTGGCACTAAGCTTCTCAGTGGTGTACGAATAATGTGAGATCCAACGTCGCAAAACATCGAGATAGAGTCCACTAACACCGCCGCCGCCAAGAGTTCAAAAGAACGCCAAGCATCCCGATACGTTTCTCCCAAAGGTTATCTCACTTCCGCCGGATAGATACAGCTCCATGGTTCGCACCTTGAACTTGCCACACCGGGGAATCGAGACGACTTCAGTAGTTGGTCCCTTTTTCTGGTCTGCTCACGACCAGGATGAAGACGAGCCTCATTTG